ATATATGCAGATAGTCAGGCGTAATAATTTTAGAAAATTTGATTAATAACCAGAGAAGGAGAGACAAAGTGGCGTTAGAACTAGTGGTAAAGTTATTTTTCGGAGCTAATATCTATTTCGGTTACTGTATGTAGATGATAAAAGTAAATACACTTTTGCTGAAGGATATGGTCATCTATATACTTTTAAAATGTGGTTCTATCATCTAGTGATATCGAGTATTATTCAAAATAATATCATATGGAATTTAAAACAACTTTCTACTAAAGGTACGTCTAATAATTATAAATTTTTTAACCCACTGTCAACTCGATTACACTCATTATAAACTGTATAGTTGAAAATGTGCCATTTCTAAACACTCAACAAAATCATAATTATGCTATGGAGGTTTCATTATTATTGTCTTCAGCTTGAGTTTTCAGGAGCAACTGTTGGTTGATTGGGAAAGAAAGACAGACTGTTGTCCACCATCCTTGTATCTGATATATTTATTCACAAAAATCTGGTTTATTAAATATTGAGTAGCTGAGATGACCTTCCTCTCCGTTTATGTACATTTTTTCTAAATTATTATATCAGTCAAGTAAAAGTTCATTTTTGTTTGCAATAAATATGATGGCTAAATCAGTTTACTAACAGGTAAAGCAGAATCTAAATTCAAGTCAAACAATCGAATATTTGGGGAGGTTCTTTCAGCGAAAGAAGGAAAAGAAAACAATTAACTTTCGACGCTACAAGTCTTCGTCAGTAGAACATACAACGGGGCCGTAAAACTCAAGTGTATGTAAAATCTCGACAAGTCACTTAAGTTTTTGACAACAAAACAGTTACCCTGCGGACAATCAGAAATGTTGCTCGCAAACACTACCCTCTGCATCAAAAATGAATCGCAGCACGACCAATGTAATTAAACACGAACAAATCCATTTATGCAGTTTTAAAAACTAGTAAGAATCCCTTGAACTTTATAAAGAAACACTGAACTGAAAAACAGAAAATAGACACAAAAGTTTTCAACCGAATTCCCTGTCTATTCAAGACCGAAGTGACATAAAGACTTACTGAATCACAAGAGAACAAAATTTAAAGTTTAAAAGGCCAAAGTAGGTAAAATGCTCTCTCTTAACTAACACTGAAGCGTCAAGCAGAGTCGGAAAAATCAGTATCATCTTCGTAATGTAAGTAGAAGTGGTAATGCCTTCAGACCTGGCGATTAAACTACTACAGTTCAGAATCGCCAAACTACTGCTACATATCTTTTCCATGATTTTAAGTTATGTTTCGTATTCACGTTCCGCTGAATATTATTTCTCATTCTGATGATTTCTGAACCGTTTAATCCTTCTAAGATTAGATTTTAATAATCTCGATACTTATGTTGGAATGTACTGGTGGTTCACTCACGGATTATTCTGCGGCCTGTTATTTTTTCTGAGTCTAAATCACATGCCTTATGATATGAATTTATGTTGTTACTTCATGGCTTTCCTTGATGTTATAACTTGTTAGTCTCCGTCGTTGATGAGATCGAATGGATCTGGCATACAGGCTCCTATGAGGATCCCTTGGTATTGTCTGTGATATAATCTTGATACTAATGATGGATGGTAGCTAGCAGTGGAGTCCATAAGGCCATCTTCATCCTACTTGCGACTCGTCAGTTGAGTGCACCTGTCTCCCAGTGAGCGATGTTATTTCCACAAAGGTTCAAACCCAGAAGCAGCATCACTTACTGAGAGGCAGGTATTTTCAGAGAATGAGTCTCGAATAGGACGAATTGTAAGTTTTGGATTTCAATGTTTTTTTATCAGTATATTAAAACGGCTAAAGACGTGACTGAACTAAAAGACGAAGATGAAGAGGAGCTACTCTACTTAGAGTACTTCGATTGAATCTGTATACATACCAGTGGCTTCATCAACTGTTCAGAGGAATTAGACTTTTATAAAAAATATTTTCCCAAGATGATCAGTCACGTACTGGTGAGCAACTCATCTTAACTCTGTTTAAGTCAGTGCATTTTAGATTTCAGACGTTAAATTGAAAGGATCTTGATACAGTGGAAAAGACATTTTAACTCCATGAAAATAACACTTCTTTTGACGAGTTTTACTTTCGATACAGTTAGTGGGCATATGTCGAACAGAATTATGTAGCCTATGTTTCAGCCAAGGCGTTTGACATTCGAATTGTAATTCAGTCAAATGTCAAAGTCATGTGAATATTAATTTTTTGATAATAATGATCACTTTGGCCCAGTCAACTACGGAATAATATAAGTAACATTGAATAGACAATATTCTTTACACAAGGAGTGGCTGTTGTGACTTGAGGGCATAGTAGATAACATTCTGGAGTATGAAACGCTCGGTCCTGGGTGTGAGTTCTAGTGGGGACAAGATCGCTCAAAGGAAGGCAGGTACATCCAGCTGACCAGTTCCTAATAAGTCAAAAGCATCTGGGATTTCACTGCTAGACAGTATCCATCATTATTCACAAAATTGAAAAGCGTGCATCCTTACTGGAGCCCATATGCCAGTAGCAAACAGTTGATTAGATGTAGTCAACGACGGAGTAATACAAGATTATATAAGTGCTAATTCTCGAATCTGATATCATCATGAATATTTTGGTTATAAGTTTGGCAAGATTCCTTGAGTTCACAACTAATTTAATCTGATGCTTGTGATGATTTATTAATTTCTGGTTGGTATTCATCATGGATTGACATTAGTGGGACCAACCAGGTCGAATATGAGGACAGTTACTCAACGACGGCATCGGGTGAAAGTCGCACTATATGGTGAACTGCCAGAAGTATGAAATACGGACTAATGAATTCTCACTCAATGGCTCCTTGGTAACGTGTTGGCAGCGGGAACCTGAAAATTCTAAGTTTGATCCCTGGTGGGGCTACGGGTACACACTGCTGAGGAGTTCGTTACTTTGACGAAACAGCTTTTCAGTGCTTCCAGGTTTTCAACGGTCCTGCACCTAATCCGAGTCCATGACAAGTGCCAATCCAAATTAATGTTTCAAAATTATTCGCGAGATATTTCTTAAATGGTCTCTCTTTTTTCGTGTTAACGCAAGAAGCGTATTTGAAAAGAAACACCTCTTGAGTCAAAATGGATCATTATCTTGATAAAATTTCCCACTGAAAATGCATATCGTTGACTAATTCTACGTATACAATACTCCATGAACAGTAATCAACTCCACATAAAAATTCCATGCAGGGATATATCGATTATTTCACTCATGTATCCTGAGTTACGTATTACGGAATTGTGACAAGATGTATATTGTTTGAACTGTGCAATACATTTGCGCAACACAGTTCAAACAACCTGATCACACACATACTTGTCATAGGTATTTATAAGAAAATTCATAAAAATAAGAGGTGAAAATATGGGGAGACATCAATTAAGAGTGGTGAATGAAAATCAGTAAGGCGAAAACAGTAGTACATCGAACTTGGTTTCAGAGTTGAATTCCGCAAGAGAGATTTAATATGATAATGAATTTTTGTGAATACATGAAGGTGGTGTAAACTCCCGAACAACTGAGGTCTCGACAGACTGAAGGATTAGTCCCGAACATTTTTTTAAAAAGGGTCTATGGGAAGTAGTCAAATCAATTTTGTGACCTATCTCAACGACATGTTTCAAAATTGAAGAACTTGGATGTGCGCTATCACAGTGTTTATGGGTTCAGATGATTCAATCCGGTTTTGAAGCCACTTTGGAATATTCTCCGGGACCATTACTTCCATGAATCTATGAGTTCTCCATATGTGTGTGTCACTACATTTACATCTGAATTGGCAGAAGCAGTGGGATTTGATATTGTCGTTCACATACTGTAAGGGTTTGCGAGGGGATTACAGGCTTGATGGTATCTATTCATCGGATCCCAGCTACATAATAAGTTCTTCTAATAGCTGCTTTAAGGCATAGGCATTGGGATATCAGAGTCACCTTTCTTCGTGAGGTAAAGAGAAGAGCTTCAAACCCCTCGCTTTACACTGATTGTAGGCATCCGAGTTCTTCAACTGCAAAACATATCGTTGAGACAGGTCACAGAATTGATGTGGCTACTTCCCAAAAACATGTTGGGGACTAATCCTTCAGTCTGTCGAGACCTCAGTTATTCGGGAGTTTACACCACCTTCATATGTTCAAAAAATTCATTATCACATTAAATCTCTCTTGTTGAATTCAACTGTGAAACAAAGTTCGATGTACTACTGTTTTCGCCTTACTGATTTTCATTCACCACTCTTAATTGATGTCTCCCCATATTTTCACCTCTTATTTTTATGAATTTTCTTATAAATACCTATGACAAGTATGTGTGTGATCAGGTTGTTTGAACTGTGTTGCGCAAATATATTGCACAGTTCAGTCAATTTGTGTCTTTTTTTTGTTTTGTTATTGCTTTGCTTTAAATAGTACTGGGGTGGAATTTGAACGATGTGATAGTGTATAACTAAGTATTAAATCAGCTTATCTGATATGACATAAAGTGAAAGAGTATTACTTATAATACGCAGTAATATATAGAGAAATTTTGATAGCCCATATCATATCCAGGTTAGTGGTATTGTTATTGTCTAGAAAGGCAATGAAATGTTCCCAATGAAACTATCCACTTCAGGGAATATGAGAGAACCAAGATATATTCAAGTTCTTCCAACCTATAGTCTCCTCTATTATGACTACATACAAATTCAGTGATCTGTTGAGAAAGTTCATCTGACTTGATGTGAAAGATTAAAGGGGAAAATATGAGAATGATAATGATTTAACTGTCTTTCGTTATAATATATAGCCAGATTTCTTATACATATGAAGATGTACATGATTTGTTAACTGCCTAAACACTTTTATTATGACTTCATAGCAAAAGTATAAGAAGTATTACTGTAATTTAACCGACAAGTTGTAAATGAAAATCACCTGAAATTAGTTTTGTTAATTTCTTTTTTTAAGGTGGATGATAAAAATGGAATTAATTCTGGTGATCAAATTGTACAAATTAATGGTGTATCAGTTAGAAATCTGAAACAGGCCAATCAATTACTTGAACGTTGTGGTAAATCTGTTAGTCTTCTCCTACTGAGACCAATCAACATTGTAAGCCTGATTTATAATTAAATGGTGTTATCATTATTTTGCATGAGAAAAATTTGTTTCAAATGTGCCATACATTTCAGTGATTGTCATAAAAATAAAATTTAAGCTTAAAATAGGCACATTTTACTGACAGTATGATAATAAAGGTAGAACAGATGTCAAATGAAGGTACTTGAAAAAGTAAAAAAATTATTTTTTACACGAAAAATAAGAAGTTACAATTAGATATTCACATTCTGTTGTACATGGAACGAACGGAATGATCATGGTATCGCTTTTGTCCTTGTTTCGCCTAAGAAGTGGATAATGATTTCTTTCGCCTATCATTCACTTTTTTCATATTTTTAAAAATTTTATTTTGAAGGTAATCACTTTGTCAACAGTAACTAGGGAAAGTTGTTCTTTTGTATTTAGCCTAAATAACAATCACACTAAGCAATATCAGCAGTGAAGCTTCTAAGAACCTAGAAGAAACAAATTGTTGGTAGATAATTAATTTTAAAGCACATCATACTGTTTTTAATAGAAACTTAAGTTGTTCAAAGATTTATTTACAATAACATTGGGCCTAACGGCTGTCTATTTACGGATGTAAGCGTCTAACCGAACAGCTATTAATATTGTCCTAGTAACACTTCTTTATAACCATATTTCCATCTTTCAGTAACGGTTATGTATGAGAATATTTTCAATCTAATACACTGTAAGATACTAAAGGCTTAGTATATAGCATTGGCACTATCTAACAAGTTTGCTGGCGTATGAATATTGAGATTTGCTTTTTATTCAGTTAATTTTTTAACAGGTTCATTTTCCAAGTCTCCTTTCACTTTCTTTATACTTCATTCATGTTTTAATGCATTCTTCCATTTCTACAAGTCTAATTTAGGTAGTGAACATTCATTCTCCAATGATCAAGTCAACGAAAACAATGTAAATAACCAACGCAATCAATTACCTCGAATATTCCCGCATACAGTTTACACAACACCAGATCGATTAAAACAAACTATGTGGTTACAACAAAATATATTTCGAGAAAAGTTAAATTTATTATCAAAGATTAATGGTATGATGGATAGAGATATTAATGTGAAAGAGACAAAATCCACTTCAAATATGAACGACAATCAACTGAATTCAACTGAAAATCATAGTGAAAGACAATCAGTGATTAATTCCAAGTATGAAGCGAGCACAGCTGAGCTCACTTCATGGACTATAAGAAAAAGTGCAGATGGAACTAGATATATTACAAAAAAATACAAAAGGTGAATATGATTAAAGCTTTGACTATATTTTAAACTGAAATCAGGTCATCGGTAAACATTTCAAGAATCCAGGAAGGATTGTCAAGACTTTTATTCTAAACAAATTTAGAGTGACTTTAGATACCTTTTTATTATCTTTGACCAACTTTCCGCAAACTAATAGCTAATCAGAAAACGTTTAAGTATCCTCGAAGATTTTAGATTAAAAGCAGTTAGCAAAAAAAATGACTCATTCTATCATAAATAATTCGTGAACATAATTTAAAATCCTCGTCAAGTCATAGAACAAAAGATGTTTAGAGAAGAGTTACTCTTTTCAGCGACATCATTCTTATTTTGTACAGTCGCATATATATATATATATATATAATTCACATTATTACAGAAGAAGTGTTTCATAGAATATTTTTGAACCAAGTTCAGGTATCATTAAAAACTAGATTACAAGCGAAAAATTACATAATATTTGAAATAGTTGTAGAAAAAAATTTTTATGAAATATTTGGAACAGAGTTCAGATATAACTAAAAATCAGGTTACAAGAGAAATTGCGTAATGTTTGAAATAGTAATCAGAAGAAGACTTACCAAGGTCGGACTAATATTTGGTTACTAAGTTGAATGACGTAAGGTGGCGAATGGACAGACTATTTAGCATTTGAATAAACCTTTTGATTTCCATAAAAACTGAGTGGTTAGTTTCATATAATTTCAATTGAAAGTTAAGGGAACAAACCTTGATGAAATAGAATATTGAAAACTCAACTTCATACATCTAAAAGAAATGACCAATCATTTTTTGACTAATATACATCTCTTATACTTTACAAAAGTACACCACTTAGTGGTTATGGATTACTTAGCCTAGGCTTTTAACAATAGAACTACAGTAGTTCACTACAAAAAGAGCACAATGTGTTGAGCACATGTTTTGGTATACACAAAATGTAAAAGGAAATGCATATAGTGAAAAACTTCAGTAACGGATGGTAGGCAAACAGATGAACTGAAAATGGAACCTTGCACAGAACTACATAGCTTCAAGTTGCCATATTTAACAGTAGCATACAAAGAGCAATTGGATAGAAAAAGGCTCACATCAAAGTAGACGGAAGTTTACAGGTGAATAAAGAACTTTAAAAATTAAGGTTAGTGAAGACATTCAAGCTTTTCAAGACGTCAAATAGTGGACACATTTGCTCCGTTATCATATATTTTCAGCCGTCACCTAAAGTTATCAATTACTGATTCATGTCGTCTCAGAGACTCTAGCCAGCTAGTCTACATCTGCCTGCAGGGCTCAGACAACTAGTCAGAGATATCTATCTTATAAAAGAATACCTCCAAACTATCGATTGTTCAAAGAATCTTCTTAGTTAGTGATGTGACCCAATGTTGTTAATTGTATGCGTTATCATTCTCTTGTCCTGATTTTTCACAAGGCGTTCCACAAAAAGAATTTGATACCTAAACGTTTGAAGTAACATTAAATATGATCATCACCTACCAATGTTTAAGTAAGAAGTGTTAATTTTGCATAACATGTAGTTACAAATAAAACATTCAGTTTCACATTTAGTATGGTGAAAAAGAGATTTTCTATATATATTATAAAGTCACTACTTCCCGCATACTACAACTAGTTACTTAATCTTTATGAACCATATTTATATGTGAAATGAGATAAAAAATTTCAGTCAACGGTGCATCTTTTTAGTTTATTTCCTGAGAGAAGCTTTCACTAGATATTTTATTATAACTAGGATCTGACACTCGTTAATAAGCGAATTTATCGAGTCAAATACCAAAACTTTATAATTCATCTCCTTTCTTCAATATACTGCGATAATATCGACTCTGATGTTGAAATTCCAGTGTACACTTTAAGGTCAAAAATTGCTTGGTTTTCCAACCACTTACCTGGACAGCAAAAATCTGTTGATAAAAAAGTAAAACGAGGTAAACCAATAAAATATTTTTGGATATAGGTTGTTCATTTGTAAGTATTTCCATCATATATTTGTACCTGAATCCATAAACATTTCCTGCTTTCTTTTCCAGATCACCAGAGCTTTCAACCTACAGATCTTTCCGATTAAATGATTCCAATCGTTACCAAAGTGATAAAAGTCTGTCTACCAGTCAAACAAATTCTTCATGTTCTGATGTATCTGAACAACATCAAACTTTAACAATGCACTCTAAATATGCATCACATTTAGGAAATAAAAGTAATCATGTACATTTTAGTCAAAAAAACAATAATTCTCTTGTAAATACATTCATATCTGCAAAAAAAGAGTTAACTCAGTATTCAGAGCCTAAAATGAAAACTGTCGGTATTCTTAATGAAAACACCGGCAGCTTGTATAGCCAATCAAATATCCCAACATCGTTATTAATGAAACCACCTATCTTATTTCGACGAAGTCATTCTGCTAATGTATCACGTAATACCAGTTTACATTATGATGTTGAGAGGAAACATACATCATATACAGCAAACCAACAATACTACAATAAACAAAATAATAAACTAAGATCATCTTCAAACCAGACATCAGTCTCAGTTGTAACAATATAATGTGGAATTTCTAATTTCTATTCTCTTTTATCTCTACATAAATCCTTCTCTTTAGAAGGAGTAAACAGAAAGTAGAAGTAAACAAAGCAGTACAGCAGCGACACAAATAATGCTTACAGTATGACAAAGTGACAATTTAGTTCAATCTAGATTCAAGGAAATTATTTTCAAATAGAAACTTCTAATACAATTACCCTTAGCTTTCTCCTTAAATTTACGTCAACATTTTCTTCAAGTAAATGTATAATTAAATGGTATTTTCAACAGACTTTTAAATAAACACTAACTAATCATGTATGATAACTTATTCTGCTTAACTTTTTTTCAAAAAACATTAACTCAGATAATTGTTGATTTGGTGGAATGGAAACCAACAAAAAAATAAATAATCAATTAGCTTTATTTAACGTTATTTAATTACAGCTGATAATCTGGTGTCATTTTTTAAAAAAAAACAGTTAGAGAAATGCAAAGCTTCTCAAAAAGGGTATCAGTTTTGAACTACTAAATTTTAAAACTGTACAGGGACTGGAAAAAATAGTTAGAATTTTGAAAGAGATTGAAAATGAATGCCTTTGTGCCAATATTAGAGATTAGACTAATAACCTGTATTAATCCTGGCAAGTGGTAATACTACGGAAATTCAATTTCATTTTGAAAGTATCAACAGAATGTGTAGACACTGTACACTGTGTTATCAGGTAGGCATCAGTGAGCAGCAATTCAGATTGCTGACCTTCATTGTAGCTGTATTTATAGGAATCAAACCACGTATATTAAAACTCGCTTTGCGTAGTCACCCAGAAAACTATAAATGGCTTCTGAAGTGATAACGAAGGTCATGAAATTTGATGGATTCGAAGTCATCAGATATTCCTCAGTATTTATTGTACATCAGTAAGACAGTTTTATAGGCCCTTTGAAAGGCTTTAACTAATAGAGAAATGTAGGTGTTGTCGCATAAAAATTGACCAACAGACATCCAAATTCTTTCCCAAGTTCAGCTTTCCATTCGCCAAAAGTTAGCTCAGACAGGTGTCGTGTATCACAAGACACCAAATTAAATACTGGATAAAAATCATAGAGTTCTTGAAAGAAGCCAGAAATACATTTTATCAAGATGAAACCGACCTACTGCATCATATTTGAAACATGAAATAATAACAGCATAAATGTAAGCAGTAAGTAATAAACAAGACACAAAACAATTATACTAGCAAAGGATGATAATTTGTTAGTTAGTTGGAGACAGTCAGCAAGAAGCTGCCCTCGACTAAGGTTTCATGCTAGTTGATACTCGTCAGCAGGGCGTATCTGCAACCCTAACGGAACTGATATCTCCAGTTATATTCAAACCCGCATCACTTAGTATTGTGGTCAGTCATCTTGATGGTACAGCAAGCGCACCAAGAAATACGCCACAAAAAATAATATAACAGCATTATGAAGAGATAAAGTGAAGGGAAGTGGATGAATGAAGAACGCAATAAGAATAGAATGGTTAGAAGGTCAGTCCAGTAAGATACATTCAAAACAAATCATTGATTCTATTCAAAGTTCAAAAAACTTCCATGGATATAACTAATAGTATGAAAGTTACCCAGCCTATTTTAGCTGTTTATTTAGTCTCAGAAATCATCCATAATCATATCATCAAGTCAGATATGGTTCTGTTTCAATTTTTCTTTTGTGAGACGATTTCACTGCACACCTAAAATAACCGAGACGCCTATTAGGAATCCGTTGCTTGTAGTTTGTTTTAGAACTATAAAAAAGATTATTCGAGTAGGAGTAAAACTTGAGCACTGTGGTAGAGTACAATTTCATACTAGATTGTTTATTTGACATAGCAAACAGTGATACAGCATTATCACATGATAATTTGATAGATCAGGTAATTTTTCCTTATGGGGTCTACTGGATTTTTTTTAGCCTGAAAGGAGTTCTGCCTAAAATTTTCAATATGTCTTCTTTATACATCAACACTATAAAGGATTTGAATTCTTCCTTAGGGATATTGCAATCACTACCAACATTACTACTCCTTCTTTTATCAGTCTTCATAAAGATTTTAATAGATTCTATTATTATTTATTATTATTTTTCCTTTGGGTTCCTAGGGGAACATAGGGGTTCAGTAGCTCGCCTTCATTGCACTTTGTTCTCTAGTCTTTTGAACCTCGCTCCACGACTGTCCAGAAGCTTTCATTTCTTTCACACATGATCTCCTCCATGTCATCCTTGGATGCCCATCAATAAATTCTAATGGGTAGTCATTAGGAAGCAATGTCTCTTTGATATGTTTCATTTCATTATTTAGATTACTGAGACACTTTATCAAACCTGCTTGACAAATATTAAGTGAAATTATGTGAATTTTAAGTATCTAACGGAATGTGTTGGTATCCGTTAAAAAAACTCTGGTATCTAGGCTTCCATCTTCTCTCCTCTTGATTTTACAATTCTATAAACAGTGATAAATAGTGACAATAATCTAAAGTACACAAGATGAGTAGTGAAAGACCTCATTCTATGACATTAAAGAAAATGGAGCTATATTCTAATTGCAAGCTTCACTTCGCAATCTATTTAGATTAGTCTAAAGACAAAACTAGAATCCAATCGATATGTATAGTTTGTAGACGATTAAATGAAATGTAGTATTAGACATCTGGCATTAAGTTTATGAGTATTATTATACTTCTGCTTTATAGATTTGCAGTCTATCGAAAACTCATTTTTATAGCATCATAGGTGATGGATGCATCAGCATATTTACTTTTTTTAAGGAATTCATTTCTTTGGCCCTGTAGTTCAGAGGTACTCTACGTGAAAAAAAACCTTTTGGTTTATAATTCGTCTCCAACAAAAGTTAAACAAATAGTCTATTTAACATTTCAATTCTAGGAACTAAATGCTTTATAAAATGTTCAGCTGGATGTATACCCTGAGAGTATTCCTAATCTCATTTTTCTTTGTTAACTATATTTTTATCTTACAGATGGCAGAGTGACACCTTTTGTTCTACTTAGGACTGGTCATCTGGACGTACTTGAATCTCAGTGAGTGCTGTTGTTCCTAGTGAGGCTGGGACCTAGTACCTATCTCACCAACTACAGAAATTTTACTCACGAGGTATTACCCGAACATACGCTTGGTAGCTAAGCTCCCAAGAGAGTTGAAGCATTCCAATCCACCATAACAACAAGAAATTACAAATGACAATAAACTACTTTTTCATCTTGTTTACTTTTAATATTTAAATCCTTTGTCTAACTCACCTACTGACTTCAACCCACAAGGATGATTGTAATCTCGCTAACCTCAGTGCCTTCATATCTCACGTAATCTCTCAGATGAAGTCACCAGCTGCTACCATTATATTTTAACTTTTTCTTTACTATTCATGAGCCTTGTATTTAATAACGTAAATTGGCAACTATTGTCAGCTATAATTTTCAGTTTTTACCTCCTCAGTGTTTGAATTCGTTTCTTCGTCTGCAAAATATATTCTACTGCTCACGCTTTTATGGTTAAACTACCTTATTTTATTTTTCTAAGAATCACTGAAATTTCAGATAGTTCATGATTGATACAAATCAATAAACCAAAGTAAAAGGTATACGCATTCGAATCATACTCTAATTCTAGTGATGAGAATATTGAATATCACATGATGATAAATTTGCAGTTGGCAGTGCGAAACGATATTAACTTACAAGTGAACCTATACCATCATAATGCAAACGTTTTATTATTTTATTCTCAAGTTCAATTTGACTATCACTAATTTATACTTATACTCTCATGTTTTATGTAATTTTTTAGTATGCATCAAGATTTTCAAATTTTAGAATTAATAATTTCATAAATGAACAGCATCAGAACTCTGTAATTATGACTTCAAAAGAAAACGTTCATATGTCGATTAATAAATAACGAAGCGTAGAGCTTTAACAAAGAATAACGAATGACTAAAAGAAAGCTCATACTTTTCTTCTACCGACTCACTCCATAGTATGGCTAAGTCGCAGTAGTTTCAGAGACAGGTAAATAAGCCATAATTCACATTCAGAGTTAGTTATTTCGATTGAATTATCAATACAACCGAATATTTGTCTTTATTATTTGTTGAAATCATCTTGTTTCACTAGCTATCCAGTGTCTCATAGACTAAAACATTTCTTACAACTTACTTAGTTGTGGCTAGCGGTTGAACTCAGGATGCTTGTTTCGTCCTATTTACGACTCGTCTGCGCCTCAATGAGTGACATTGTTCCCACTGAGACTCGAACCTGGCACCCAGAACTTCAAAAGTCAAAGCGTTATCCACTAGGCCACGGATATCAAAAAGCAGTTAAAACACTTCTTGTTTATTCGCTTTACGATTAATGATTACTGAATTTTACGTAATCTCACATCATAACATTTTCATGTTCTTTCGCAAGTCACAGAAACGGAACAAAACAAAACTATCCTTTCTGGAAAATACAAAAATAGTTGCGTAAAGCACTCGTACCTACAGATAGATTAAAAATTCTAGTCAAAGTTTTTAAAGTTAAAAATTCTACAGAAGTCTAGCTTCCTAAATATGTTGACATTAACTTTTTCATGCTATAAAACTATGTACAATTTATGTTATTGTACTAATTTTCTTGCTATTTTCCACCTAACAAGTTTATGCATAGCTGCCATTCGTTGAACTAATGAGATACGAGAAATGAATAATCTATTGAAGTATAATTTAGACCTACTGATTTCACCCGGAGTACAATCAAGTCTTGAGGCGTCTCTTGTGAACAAAATAAAGGGGAAGTAAAAATGATGCTAAAATTCACAAACTTTAAAATTTTAACCATAATAAACACCCAATCCAGAGGTTTTAAGAATACCGTGAAAGTTTTTGGGCCATGAGTTTCATTGAATCATTACGAAAGTTTTAGTATAATCTCAGCATGTTTGGATTATCAAACAAGATTCCTTAGCTTTATTTAACTTGTTATAGATCTCATTCGTTGTGGTTGTTTCACATGAACCTGAAATATCATGCTGCATTTCTCTTTTGTCAGCTTAAGTCATTGCAACTGATTTGTCTAAATTTAAAGCTTTCAAAGCATAGCGTACTGAGTACTCCTGAGGAGTTCCATACTAGGAAGAAACAGCTGTCCAACACTCCCAGGTATCTAATATTTCTCTAAATGATGTTAGTATATGATAAATACTTCCCCAAAATTCAAATCCCAAATTATCTCAAAAATACGTTACTGTATAGTGCTTATTAGTGACATGCTTCC